AAGGTTACCTGTATTCCTATCACACCAGCAAGTCAAATTATTTCATTTGAAACACTTTCACATATGTATTTTTTAAGTTTACCCATTTTTTTCCTTTTAATTTGTCGTAGCCATTTCTTCCAATTTGCTCCATAGTCTCATTACCATTTTTTATAGTTCCTTTTTATACTGTAGTCAACCAGCCTGGTGACTTTGAACAGGTTCTTTCAACTCTCTGAGCTTTACTACCCTTAATGATAAAATAGATTTACTTTATGAATAGTCATGGTAGAAATTCAGAGAGGTGATGTATAGCCTGGGGCTTAGCACTGTGCCTGGTACATATTAAGTTGCTATTGCTGTGAAAGGCTATTGACAAATATATATTATTTCCCAGTAAATTCTAGGATGAAGCCAGTATCACTTTGCATGTCTTTTTGAGTTTTAGTTCATTTGTTAATTGACAAATCCTTGAACACTTCCGAAATGTGCCAGGCAGTATGTTAGGCTGGTGAGACAGCAGTGACCCAACTGGTCCCTAACCTCCCGGAGCTCACATTATAGATGATACCAACAATAAATCTAATCTTGCCAGGAAGTGAGAAATCCTGTGAAGAAAGTGAAGTGGGTCATGGGATAGACGGTGGTAGAGGATGGGAAAAGAGAAAAGAGAAGAACTTTCTGATGAGGTGACATTTAAGTAAAGACCTACAAAGTGAGAGATGAGCAATGCCACGCGCAGAGGAGGGAGCATGATAGGTGTGTTGGGAGGGCATGAGGAGGGCAGTGTGGTTCAGATGAGGGGCCATGACCTCCCTTTATCCCTGGCTGGATTTTCCAGCTTCTTATCTTTTAATTTTTTGTTCCTGTGTAGCAAGTCTGATTTCTGAGCCTGTCATATATTTTCCCCCTTGATACTTTCATTAACTGTGTTCCACTTCCCTCTGCATAAACAATCTGAAATATCAGAATGTGTTATTTTCCTTTTCTAGTGAGGACTTCCTGGTTCTCTACTTCAGGGTCAAGGGTGTAAACAGTTCCTGGATGAGCAGAATTGGGTTTGATTTTGCAGGGATCACTGACATTTGGGGATGTAGCTGTGGCCTTTACCCAGTTTGAATGGAAACACCTGGATGCCACTCAGCAAGCCCTGTACAGGGATGTGATGCTGGAAAACTACAGGAATCTGGTGTCTGTGGGTAAGGGTGTCTTTTTTTTTTTTTTTTTTAAGAGTTATTTGAGAGAGAGAGAGAACATGAGGGTGCACTCGAGCAGGGGAGAGGGGCAGAGGGAGAGGGAGAAGCAGACTCCCTACTGAGCAGGGATCCTGACAGGGGGCTTGATCCTAGGACCCCAGGATCATGACCTGAGCTGAAGGCGGACTCTGAACCAACTGAGCCACCCAGGTACCCCGTAAGGATGTCTTTTTAACTCAAAATTGATTTCCTGGGCAACTGTGGGTTTTCACAGGGTATATGGGGTATTTGAAAATCTTAAATGGGAGGTTTTGTTTGTTTGTTTTTAACATGGATTTAGAGGCTGGAGTTAATGCTCATTCTGTCCCTCAGAAAGAGCCATACAGAGTTTAAGATGGTAGCTTTGTGTGCAGTCTAGCCCAGTTCTCTAAATTTTTCCATGTACATGTCTATAACTACATGATTTGGACATCCTGATACCACCCTATAGGCCACCCTGAGATTGAGGTCTGGGATAGCTGCTTTTGCTCATCACCACAGTCACATTCCTTTTCTTTCTGTACTAATAGGACTTCTGTCTTCCAAACCCAAACTAATCACCCAGTTGGAGCAAGGGGCAGAGCCATGGATGGAAGTACAACAGATTCCATCAGATACTTGCTCTGGTGAGTGAGGTGGGAGCCATTTCAAGCAGCAGCTGAATACACTGAATGGTGAGGAGGGGTTCTTGGTCAGAAGGCTCATCTTAGAGGGCCCATGTCTGGGCAGCAGGGCTGGGGCACTTGACACAAGTTTCCTCTTTTTAATGTCATTGTCGTGTCAAATGACTTGCCATTTTTCTCTTCATTCCTATGGAGAGCTGCTCCCTTCTCGAGGGCCTCAGGTCCATGACCTCTTGCTCTGAAATCCTCAGTCTCTTTATGTGTTTTTTTCCCCTCCCCATTTTCAGGCACTTGTCAGGCTATACTTTGTTTCTGTCTTCTGTCGCATTCTCAATTCCTTTCAAATTCTGTCATGGTTAGCTTCGTAAATGACTGTATATCCCTTTCTAGTTTTAATATCCATTATCTCTAATCATATAGTGACAGTGGCAGATTCCAAGTGTAAGCATAGTTTCCTATCAGATAATTACTAGTTTTGGCAAACAAACTGATGGGGAAGCATTTTCTTCCCTGTAGTCTTTTTAAATTTCTCTTCTGTTATGCTTTACTCTTGACTCTCATTTTTTTTTTTTACATATACTTTGCATAAATTTCTGTATGTCACTTTCTTCGTGTCATAATTCATTTCAAAATCTTTGCTTTTTTTTTTTTTTTTAAAAGATTTTATTTATTTGACAGAGAGAGACACAGCGAGAGAGGGAACACAAGCAGGGGGGAGTGGGAGAGGGAGAAGCAGGCCTCCCGCGGAGCAGAGAGCCTGATGCGGGGCTTGATCCCAGGACCCTGGGACCATGACCTGAGCTGAAGGCAGACGCTTAACGACTGAGCCACCCAGGTGCCCCTCATTTCAAAATCTTTGAACATGGATGTTTCTCTCACCTAAAATATTTATCCTGCCAATATTCCTTTTTTAAAAAACTCTGTCATTTTGCCTGTATCATCCTCAGAGAAACTTTTATAACTGTATTTCATGGAAAATACCAAGGATACATAATTTGTTTAACCTAGGTTTTTGGCTTTGTTTTGTTTTTTAATGCTTTTCAGTAATTCTTTTTGTTCTTACTACGTTTAACTAAATTTTCCCCTAAATTATTGTGTAGATTCTTTTTTTCCAAAAAGATTTTTTTTTTTTTTTAAAGATTTTATCTATTCATTTGACACAGAGAGAGAGAGAGAGAGCATAAGCAGGGGGAGTGGCAGGCAGGCAGAGGGAGAGGCAGGCTCTGTGCTGAGCAAGGAGCCTGATGTGGGACTCGATCCCAGGACCCTGGGATCATGACCTGAGCCAAAGGCAGACGCTTAACCACTCAGCCACCCAGGCGCCCCTTTCCAAAAAGATTTTATTTATTCATTTGAGAGAGAGAGAGAGTGTCTGCATGAGCAGGGGGCGGGGGGCAGAAGGGCAGAGGGAGAGGGAGAAGCAGACTCCCCGCTGAGCAGGAAGCCTGACTCCCGGGCTGACCCCAGGACCCTGAAATCATGACCTGAGCCCAAGGCAGATTCTTAACTGACTGAGTCATCCAGGCACCCCTGTGTAGATTCTTTATAGGGTAACAACAGTAACTCAGTCTTCCTTATTCTTTGTTCTTTCTGTTTTAATTTTGGTATTTTTTGATATAAGATGTTTAGAATTTAGATGTAGTAAAAGCTAGCAGTGTTTCCTTTGATATTTCTTCCATCCATTTGGAAGGTAATACATCTTTATGCAAAGATTCCACAATAATTCCATGTTTCACACTTCTCCCTCCTTTTTTGCATATTCCACTCTATTGGTTTTTAGAAATGCATATGGTATAAAATTCAGATGGTTCAAATGGTATGCAGCCTTCATATACCTTTCTTAATCATCCAGTTCCTCTCCTCAGAGGCATCTTTATATAAATTTCTTGTGGAAATTTCCAGGTATAATGTATGCTTTGCAAGAATATACATGTATTCCTTTTTTTTTTTAAGTACATGGTAGTACACTCTTCTGTGTCTTGCTTTTGTCATATCTTGGAAATCATTTCACATAGCTACATCATTTAGAGTGCTGTTTTATTTTTTAATGGCTGTATGGCGTTCCATTTTATGGCTATATTGTAACTTATGTAATCAGTTCCCTATTGGACATAGTAGCTATGAACAGTGATGCAGTGATTATTGTTACACATATCAATTCTCTCAAGTACAAGTAAATATATAAGATAAATTCTAGAACAAGAATTTATACATGAAAGGGTAAGTATATTTTAAAATTTAGTGGATAATACTAGTATGCATACATTTATACTCCTATTGACAACCTATGAGTGCCAGTCTGATCATACCTTGTCAACAGTGTCTTATACTTTTTGATAATTGCCAATCTGATAGCTAAAAACTTTTATTGTAATTTTAATTTGCATTCCTCTTATCAGGAGTGTAGTTGAGGATGGATTTTTTTAAAGTTTTATATTGACTTTTTTTGTATTGTCAACAATACAAAATGGATATGCTTGTCTTTTTGTGTCTTTAATGGGATTGTGTCTAGGATTCTCCCATTTAGCTGGTTATTGGGTTGGGATACATAAATGTTATTATGTAAAGGAAGTATTTAATTCACTTTCATTAAGAAATTACTTTTTTTAAAGTAAGCACGGGCATTGAATTTTATCAAATGCCTTTTCAGCCTGTGTGGAGAGGGTATCTTTCTTTTCCCTTTTGATCTGTTAATATGGTAAATTTTATCTTCAGTTATCTTAATGACTTTGCATTCTTAATAGAACCGTCTTGGTTATGACAGTAAATGATTCTGTTTGCTAATCTTTTATGTAAGTTTTTGCACTGATATTTATAAAAAGTTTATTTACATTTTTCTTTTTTGTCAGGCCATTTTCATTAGGTTTTGATTTCAGTTTTGTAATACCTCTTAAAAATTTTTTTGGATCTTTCCTATTTTCATCCTCTGGTATAGTTTAATTCACATGATAGCTGGTTCCCTGAAAGTTTGGCCCTTGTTTTGTTTTTACTTATTTTTTTATTTTTTATTTATTAAAGATTTTATTTATTTATTTGACAGAGAGAGAGAGAACACAAGCAGGGGGAGATGCAGGCAAAGGGAGAGGGAGATGCAGGCTTCCCACTGAGCAGGGAGCCCAATGTGGGGCTCGACCCCAGGACCCTGAGATCACAACCTGAGCCGAAGGCAGATGCTTAACCAACTGAGCCAGTCAGGCGCCCCGGTTTTTACTTATTTTTAATGGCAGGGAGCAGGGGAGAGGAATTAGGGGGTAGTTATTTGATGATAATCTCTCTTTTATGGTAGCTTGTCCAAGTAGATTTTTGCTCTCTCTCAAAATAGTTTTGATAATTTACAATTTACTAAAAATATCCAGTAATTCAGGTTCTCAAATTATCTCTATAGTTTTGAACAAAGTAGCCTTTATGATTTGTTTTTCTTTTTTAATTTTATTTATTTATTTGAGGAGCAGGGGAGGGGGAGCACTGGCTGGGGGGGAGGGGTAGAGGAGAGGGAGAAACAGACTCCCCAGTGAGCAGGGAGCCCAACATGAGACTTGATCCCAGGACCCTGGGATCACGGCCTGAGCCAAAGGCAGATGCTTAACTGATTGAGCCACCCAGGTACCCTGCCTTTATGATTCTTTTTGATTTTTATTTATTTATTTTTTAAAAGTTTATTTATCTTTTTAAGTAATCTCTACACTCAGTGCGGGGCTCAAACTCATGATCCTGAGATCAAGAGTCGTGTGTTCTTCCAACTGAGCCAGCCGGGTACCCCTCTGATTCTTTTTGTAATATCCTCTACATTATGGTTACTTTCTACTGATTTCTTACATTATTTATTTGTCTTTTTAAGATTTATTAATTCTTCTGCTTTTTATTTTTTTATTTTTTTAAGATTTTATTTATTTATTTGACACACAGAGAGAGAGCACAAGTAGGCAGAGAGGCAGGCAGAGGGAGAGGGAGAAGCAGGCTCTCCACTGAGCAGGGAGCCCGACGTGGGGCTTGATCCCAGGACTCCGGGATCACGAGCTGAGCCGAAGGCAGCTGCTCAACTGACTGAGCCACCCAGGTGCCCCAACTCTTCTGCTTTTTAAAAGAGCTCTTAGATGTATTTATGTATTATTATTTTTTGTTTTTTAATATTTAATTCCTTTTCCCTTTTGTTTTCTTAGGTTTATTTACTTTTTCTAACCTTCTTAATTGTTTACTTAAATTCATTGATTTTCATTCTTGTTTATGTAATATAAGTATTTAGAGCTTTAAACTTTTGTCCAGTGTTTTGGTTGTATTCAATAGATTCTGATATGGTTTTCATGATTATTAGATATTTTGCAATTTGTGTTTTGATTTCTCTGATCAAGTATTAAGAGACTCATAAGCTACCCTTCCTTTTTTTCTTTCTTAAAGCCTTTTAAAAATTTAATATATATATAGAAAAGTTGATAAATATATATACCCAGTCTGAATTAGTGTTTTTAAAGCCACTACTATGTAACCAGCACTCAGGTCAAAGAAAAGAACATTGGCAATACTACTAAATCACATGTTGATCCCTCCCAATAATTAGCCATCCTCCCTCCACGCCCCTAAACTAACACTAAAGTTTATATGGCCACTTTAATTCATTGTCCTTGCTGTGGATCAGTGATTCTTAAAACTTTAATATGCATCAGAAAGCATGCTTAAGTTCAATTACTAGATCCCACCCTCAGAGTTTTTTATTCAGTAGGTTTGGAGTGTGAACTGAAAATTTCTAGCAAGTTCCCAGGTGATGCTGATGCTGATGCTGTTGGGCTGGGGACCATGCTTGGAAAACCACTGCTGGAGTATTTTATTCATTGTATGGCTATTCCATAGCTTATCTCATATATGTGGATGGATATTTGGGATAGTTCCAGCTTTTGACTGTTGGAGTTGCTATGAACATTCTTATAGGTTATCTTTTGGTTCGTGTGTGGATACGTTTCTTTTGGACATATACCTAAGGAGTGGAATTTTTATTTTATGGGATATGCATATGTTCAACTTTAGTACATAATGCCAAATAGTTTCTGAAAGGTTTGTGCCATTTATATTTCTACCATCTGTATGAGAGTACTCATTTTTCTGTATCTATGAACACTTGATAATACCAGTCTTTTGAAGTTAGGCATTCTTTGGGTGTGTTATGTATCTCAATGTGGTTTTAATATCCTTATCCCTTATATATAATGAGGTTGAGGACATTTTCAAATGTTTATTGGCCATTATATATCATCTTTTATGAATTATCAATTCAGAGAGCCCTTTGTTGATTAAATATGTGGTATCACCGTTCTCTCTGTGGTTTGCTTTTGACTATTAATGGTCTTTTGATGAATAGAAGTTCTTAACTTTAATGATCTCTAGTTTATCAATCTTTCCCTTTCTTGTCAGTGCTTTTTGTGTCCTTTTAAATAAATCTTTCCTTTCCCCACATTCATGAAAACATTCTTCTGTGTTATCTCCTAGAATTTTTTTTTTTTTTTTATTAAAGATGTTATTTATTCATCTGAGACACAGAGATAGAGAGAGAGCATGAGCAGGGGGAGAGGCAAAGGGAGAGGGAGAAGCAAGCTCCCCGCTGAGTCAGGAGCCCGATGTGGGGCTTGATCCCAGGACCCTGGGATCATGACCTGAGCCGAAGGCAGACGTTTAACCATCTGAGCCACCCAGGCGCCCCAACTCCTAGAATTTTTATTGTTTGTCTTTTATTTTTAGATTTATCGTCCTCTTAGAATTGATTTTTGTGCATGGGAAGAGGTAGGGTTCATGTTTAACCACCCCCTCCACACCTCACAAGTGCCAGTGTAGTCTTCCTCAGTGCTCTGCAAGCTACCTTTGTTATAGAACAAGTGTCCATATGCTTGCGTTTCTCTTCATATGACTAATTTGCCTCCACCTTCCTTTACAATCAGTATCTTAAAGTTTTCTCTAGTTTAATCATTACACATTAAATGTATATCCCATCAAAGGCCATTTGAAGGATCTGGGCTGTTTCTCACAGGCTTCATTTTCAACTTGAGTTTTCCTAAAAAAAAAAATAAGTCTTAGCTCTAGTATCAGATGTATGGAATCTCTCCCCTGGCTAATAAATATAAATAATAAAATATATGAATGTAAATGTATATGTGTGTATATAAGAAAAATTCATTCAGTAAAAGAATTGATCAATGATTGTTTTATCATAAATTTGGCTCCATTAGTTTTTGAGAATCTACTTGTCATAATCGTCTTACCTATTTTCTGTTGGGTCATAGGTGTGTACTTTGTAAAAAAGATCACAATTTGATTGGTATGTTCTTTTTAAGATATGTTAAAAAACATAGATTACAGTACAATTTTTTGGCCTGAGAACTGTTTTGGTTCCTTAAATATTTTGTCTATTTTTTTCTCTGAGACACTAAGTATTGGTTCTCTGTTAAATTCTCAGAGAAATGTTATTCTTAAGTTTTTGGAGACATTAAGGTGTTCTCAAATGTACCACCCTATAGGAATCTGCCCTAGCAATCATGGTTTGCTTTGGGATATTTGGTTTTCTCTCCAAATTTGTGTTTATTCTCACATTCTCATCTATTTTTGGGGGGGGATGTGTTTTCTGTGTTACCTTCCTAACTTGCCAACTTCTTAGATGCTCCTTGCATTCTTTAAATACAGTGTTTATTATATAACTTCATTCCATTTCTCTAGACTTTTATCTTTATTCTTGCCATCTTTTCTTAACACGAATCACAAGTGGGATGAATTAATTTTACATAACCCTTAGTTGTGTAGAATAGAAAATTTTTATCCTGTGCAGCTCTCACTTTCAGTATTTCAACATAGAAAATGTTTGAATTAAAAAAAAATTTTTCAGTCCAGGAGTACTGGTTTGAAACAAAGATGTCCCCCCTAAAGCAACATACTTCTGAAGGATCTGATCTGGGAGAGCAAACAAAAAGTGACGTGATGGAAAGAGGCCTGGACTGGGAGGGCAGAAGTTCCACAGAGAAGACACATTATAAATGTGAGGAATGTGGGAAAGTCTTCAAATATAATTCCTCCTTTATTAGCCACCAGAGAAATCATACTGGTGAGAAACCCCATAAATGTAATGAATGTGGCATAGCCTTTATGAGCAGTTCCTCTCTTTTAAATCATCGTAAAATTCACACAGGCAAGCAGCCTTATAGATGTATTGAATGTGGGAAATTCCTTAAGAAGTACTCAACATTTGTTAATCATCAGAAAATTCATTCTAGAGAGAAACCTCATAAATGTAATGAATGTGGAAAAGCTTTTGGAAAGAACTCTATCCTTTTACGTCATCAGAGAATTCATACTGGTCAGAAACCCTACAAATGTAATGACTGTGGGAAAGCCTTTGCTCAGAATGTAGCCCTTACTCGTCATGAGAGAATACATAGCGGAGAGAAGCCTTTTGAATGTAATGTATGTGGGAAAACTTTTAGGGATAACTCAACTGTGTTGGAACATTTGAAAATCCATACTGGTGAAAAACCATATCGGTGTAATGAATGTGGAAAAACCTTTAGGAAGAGCTCAACTCTTGTTAGTCATCAAAGAATGCATACAGGAGAGAAACCCTATCACTGCAGTAAATGTGGAAAATCTTTTAGGTATAGCTCATCCTTTGCTGGACATCAGAAAACTCATAGTGGAAATAAACCCTATCAATGTAACGACTGTGGGAAAGTCTTTACGAAGAGCTCAACCCTTATTGGACATCAGAGAATTCATACTGGAGAAAAGCCCTATTACTGTAAGAAATGTGGGAAATCCTTCAGGCATAGCTCTGGCCTTGTTGAACATCAGAGAATCCATACTGGAGAAAAACCTTATGAATGTAATGTATGTGGGAAGGCTTTTCCCCAGAGTTCAGCCCTTAAACAACATAAGAAAATGCATAACGAAGAAAGAGCCATCAAATGTAGTTAGTGTGGTAGATCATGCAGAAGTAGTTTATTCCTTTTGACCATCAAAGAGGAAACACTCAACAAATCACACATTTAAGAAAAATAGTCTGTGTACCTCTATCCTGGAGAACTTCTCACTTGTAAGGATGTTCACTGTAGTATGGTTTGTATTAGTGAAATATTTGAAGAACGTAAATGTCTATCAATATGGAAATAGTTACTATAGAACACTATGTAGGAAGTAAAAAGAATGAGGTAGAACTCTATATAGAACCATAGAAATAACCCCATGATACCTTGTTCAAGTTAAAAAAGCAAGTTGCAGAAAATCTACATGTTGTGGTCTAATTTATATTTTAAAAAATGAAGCTGTTTTTATTTGTACATATATGTCCTGTGTATTCAAAAAGAGCTGGTAAAATAAAAGTCCAAAAGTTGTTATCTTTGAGAAGAATGTTTTTATTGGTATGATGAAGTGAAATTTTGACTTTGGCTTTGTTTTTTGAAATATTTAATCACATATATATTCATATATCTTCTATAATTTAACACAGTTGTCTTTCTAAATAAGGAAATTCAGAAACCATAAAACACACACACACACAAAAACTAAAAACTTTTGTATGATCAGAGGCTTCATGGTGTTAAAATAGAAAGAACCAGACTTGGATAGAATAATATTACCATCATCATATTATAACAAATAATACTTAGAATATCTAAAGAGTTCATAAAGATACATAAGAATAATATAAAAATCCCAGAGGCGCCTGGGTAGCTCAGTCGGTTAAATGTCCTACTCTTGATTTCAGTTCAGGCTGTGAGATCAAGCCCTGCCTCAGGTTCCTTGCTCAGCGGGGAGTTTGCTTTAGATTCTCTCCCCTGCTCTCCTTCTTCCCCTCACCCCTATGCACTCACTCTCTCTAAAATAAATAAATCTTTAAAAAAAGAATAATATAAAAATCCCAGTGGAGAAATGGTTTGGAATATGAATATACAGTTGTCAGAAAAAACAAGCACAAGTAGTCAAAAAGAGATAACCAGCTTTAGAGAAATGTGAAAATGATCAAAATTTTTTTGTCCTATTTGGCAAAAATTTATAAGATAAAAATATTTTGTGCTTTTGAAGGTGCAAGAAAATAGGCACACCTACATGTCGTTGAAGGAATTGTGAATTAATGAAGTGTTTGGTGATGAGAAGCATAATTTGACTATATCGACCAACTTTTAGAAAGCTACTCTTTGACTTAACATTTCTACTTCTTAAAATCCAGTAAAGAGTAAAGATGGTCTTTAGAGCACTACAGTAATGAAAAGTTGGAGTCACCATAGTATCTATCACCAGGGCAATGGTTAAATTAAGATACATGCATTCATTGGACTACCATGCAGTCATTTAATATATAACAATTACAAAGCAGTCATTCAGTTAATCAATTAACATTTAATGAGTTAATTTTTTATTTTATTTTTTTTAAATACATATTTTTAAAGATTTTATTTATTTGACAGAGACACAGCAAGAGAGGGAACA